CAGCCAGCATTCGATGGGCAATATAGCCATCATCACCCCGACCAAGCAGTTTATTTATTATGTCTGTGTCTGGGTTTTTTTTTTCCATACTTCCTTCTTCATACTCCTGCTTTTTCTTCTCCTCCTGCTCCCCCTCCGCCTCCTGCTCCACCTCCTTCTTTTTCTTTTTCTTCTTTTTCTTTTTCTTCTTCTTCTTCTTCTTCCTCTTCTTCTACTTCTTCTTCTTCTTCTTCTTCTTCTTCTTCTTCTTCTTCTTCTTCTTCTTCTTCTTCTTCTTCTTCTTCTTCTTCTTCTTCTTCTTCTTCTTCTTCTTCTTCTTCTTCTTCTTCTTCTTCTTCTTCTTCTTCGTCTTCTTCTTCTCCTCATTCTTCTTCTCTTCCTCCTCCTCCTTCTTCTTTTCCTCCTTCTCCTCCTCCTTCTTCTCCTCCTCTTTCTTCTCCTCCTCCTTCTTCTCCTCCTCTTTCTTCTCCTCCTCCTTCTTCTCCTCCTTTCTCTTCGTCTTTCTCCTCTTCTTAAAAAGGCACTTGGTGCACTAAATTGTGGTTTACAGCTAACCTGCCTAATCTGTGACCTTCTGTATAAAACATCCCATTTCAGCCACACCGTTCATTAGTCGTCTTTCCTGACAGGCCTATCAAGGGACAGCCCCCCCCCCCCCACAATGAGGTCCTAGAGTTGTCATTTGGAGAGGTAATTACAGAAAATCCGGCATCTAGATAACATCAGATCTAAGACGTATCCTGGACATACAAAACAAGGACAAGCAAAACCTGCATAAAGAGAACGATAGAGAGACGGGAGAGAGCAGTAGAGGCAGCGATACAAAACCTGCATAAAGAGAACGATTGAGAGACGGGAGAGAGCAGTAGAGGGAGCGATACAAAACCTGCATAAAGAGAACGATAGAGAGACGGGAGAGAGCAGTAGAGGGAGCGATACAAAACCTGCATAAAGAGAACGATAGAGAGACGGGAGAGAGCAGTAGAGGCAGCGATACAAAACCTGCATAAAGAGAACGATAAAGAGACGGGAGAGAGCAGTAGAGGCAGCGATACAAAGAGACCAAGAGAGAGAGAGAGAGAGAGAGAGAGAGAGAGAGAGAGAGAGAGAGAGAGAGAGAGAGATATGCTTGTATGAAATACAGCCGTAGCCTGTGAGATGAGAATATAAAATAATTCCTTGCTTTTTTTACATGAAACACGTTTTAACATCTACTTGCAAATTCTGGATAATCTTTAGAGGATGTACATCACATGATGCTAAGGAAATGATGTTTTATACATAAGGTATACATTTACATGAGCAGCGACAATCGTTATCTAAATATTGAGAGAGAGAGAGAGAGAGAGAGAGAGAGAGAGAGAGAGAGAGAGAGAGAGAGAGAGAGAGAAAGGCACGAATTTACTCATAAACATAAAACATCGCAGTCGCCATGTTGTCAAGAGAGAAACAGAAACATGTGAAAACTGGAAAGATTTATGGAAAGAGGAAGGAAGACAGTCTTTTATAATGGCTGGAGGGAGTGCCTGTAGGAGGAATTTACGTAGTTTTAGAGAAGTCTGGTCTGGTAGTTTTAGAGAGATCCAGTGATGTGGAAAAAAAACATGATCGGCTACGCCAGTCGACAAGGCCCTTGATGGTTAACAGTTGGAGAGAGAAGGTTGGGAGGGGGCAAAGAGAGAGAGAGAGAGAGAGAGAGAGAGAGAGAGAGAGAGAGAGAGAGAGAGAGAGAGAGAGAGAGAGAGAGGTTAACGAAATTTATTTTCAAAGGGTCACAAATTGGGCTAGCCTGCCCGTCTCGTGGAGGAAAAAAAGGGAGCAGGAGGGGTGGGTGCTTTCAATATCATGGATGGGGTCCAGTCCAGCACATTTGTCTTCTCAGTAACGTTGCTCATATATTGGAGTTTCAGTAATATATCTTGTTTCTGTATGATGATAGCTGGCTCTATGCCAATCCCTCCTCCTTTCTTGTCCGCGCTTGGGACTGACAGTGGCACTGTGAGTCTCTTTAGGGGGAAAAAGTTTTTGCACATCCTTTGCCGGACGTTGCACGCCATCACTAGTATTTGTTGGCTGTTCGTGGTTTCTCTAGCAAATGTTGCATCCATTATCTTACCATTGCCTATGAACGGTCGGCGCTCGATACCACATTGTCGAAATCAACGCAAATCGGTCTGCTACCAAATCGCTTGCATCTGGAATCGAAACGGCTACACGGGATTATAAACCGCGTTTGCAAAGTCCGAGCCGCAGACGCCGATGAGTCTCACAGCCGAGTCTTACGTGAAGAAGATTAAAAAGTCGTCATCGCCGATGCCTGTTCCAGGCCAGAGATGCGAAGAAGAAACGAGTATATCATAGCAAAGTCTCTATGATCAAAAATAGCACACATATTTGCGGGGGCCTGTGACAATTCAAAACAAAACAAAAACATATATAGCTGAGAATGCACGTAACAAGTTTAGACGTTGGATTAAACACAGACACAACGAGCACAGGGGAAGATTATGAGAGAAATAAATCATTTCTGCATTGTGGATTATTTCTAGCAGACTAATTGCTTTTGCAGTGAATTTAAGTGGCTCCAAGAAACCCCGCCGACGGCATCAGGACCTTATCACCTTAATTACCTACTGCTGGCCGTTTGTGTTTTCATGTGTAGCAGCGCATTATGATTTTAAAAACAGAAGATAAACATTTATTAGTAGTTTTATCGTCTTCATTATCAATATCTTCGTAAGGAACAGAGCTGAGTTGAATCAAGAATTGACGTTTTTGCACTCGTGGCATTCCCATGCGTGCTCCGTCCTCATCTTCAGCAGCCAGCGAAGAGTTTTAATACTAATCGTACCTATCGTATTCTGGTTATATTTTCGTCTTGCGAATCCTCTGAGTGTAGTGAGCCGGCCAGACCCTCTGGTAACACCCTGGTGCATTATTCTCTCCAGGCAATAATAATAATAATATTATTGGTTTTCTTCTGACTTTATTGCTTGTTCCCAAAGGGGCCTTGACCACATCTGCCTTGTCGTGTATCAGTTCACCACTCAATGGTGCGGATCCAGCCAACATGTCTGCTTGTTCATTCCCCACCTGGCCTAGAGACAAGATCCAGAGTTAGGTTTAGGGTCAGGATGTTTGTCAGCCCTGACCGCCTCAGGGGCACATAATAACCATACCACCAACTCTAACCCTAACTAACTCAAGCTCCTAACCCTAACACAGGGCTTTTCAGTTGGCGGCCCGCCGACCAGATTTGGCCCGTGAAGACCTAACAAGTGGCCCGCGAATCACTGCCAGTTATGTTGTATAAATGATTCTGTGCTGGGCTCAAGCCGCTGGCCCCTGACAATCCCTATTTTCAACGTTTTTTCTTTTCTTTTTTTAACCCCTGAGTAAACTTAGTTGAATAGCCCTGCCCTAACACAAGCCATGACACCCCTAGAATATTGAACGTTTTTAGGAACTCCTGGATTTCTTTTGTTTTTGGTAAATTAAAAATGAAGTACCCATTTCCCATCACCAGTGTTAGGTTGAGTTGACCTAGAAACCCTAGGCCAGCGGAACCAATCCGTCACTAATTCGACACACGACTTTCGGGTCGGTAGGCTTGTGGATATGGACACAACTGTAGTGTGTAGGAGTACACATCCTTTGAAGAGTGCAGCTTAGAAGTTAGTGAATGCGTCTCACAACTTCGAGGTTCTTGAAAACAAGAGTTCCGTTTCCGTTGCGGAGTTTTTAAAAAGCCTTGGGAGCCGCCGTTGTGTAGCGGCTGGTGGCTCGCCTGCGGGTCGGAAATGTGTATATATAGTTGTAAGGGGCCTGTTAGTAGTCTTGCAGAATCACTTCGTCCCGCCCCTCCCAACTAATTCGAGGGCGGGGGGAGGGGATGTTTCGGCGCCTATGGAGGTCAGAGGGTGAGCTAAACGGGACAGCAAAGGAAAGGAGACAGACCGCAATCTGGTCCTCAATTAGGGCATACAGGATAAACCATACACGTTACATTAGTATCGGCTCTGTGAAATCTTTGGCTTTTTATTTTCTTATTAAGATTCGCACCACTCTTTGTCCCCGTCATGTAAAACGTCTGTATGATCATGATATACGTTAATTTAAAATGCATTGAAAATGTATTTAAAATGATAATGTTGCCGTTTTATTAACGAAGTCAGATAGTCAACCAGGTGCCGTTGAGAGAGAGAGAGAGAGAGAGAGAGAGAGAGAGAGAGAGAGAGAGAGTGAGAGAGAGAGAGAGGGAGGGGGAGAGAGGCAGCAGCCGATATCCCTGCTTGTCTTTTGCCATGGTTAAAACAAACAATTGTATGCAGTCTTCATACTGAAAGTTTGATAGTGCACTCACTGCTGCCTTGGGAAACACGGTAGTACTGTATTCCGAAAACCACAATTAAAAAAATAAAATAACAGTAAAAGGACACTTGTTCGCACCTTCGGCCGTACTGGGCATATAGGGTTAGACCTAAATGTGACAGACCATTCGGCACTGGGTGAGTGATGTGGTCAGTTTCACGCCGGCCGCCCTGACTTTCCAGGACTTGACCTGGTACCCATTTAAGTCTGGGTCGACGTGGGAACTAATGTCATTTTTTGAAGAAGAAAAAAAAAAGTAAGGCATCACGAGGACATAAACCCACGACCTTCCGATCCGCATTCGAGCGTCTACCCGCTACGCCACGGTGGCTACCGTTGCGTTGGTTACTATTACAATTGATCTACCAACTGTAAGAAAACTGCTCGCTGTAACGATCGCTGCTATTGGCTAAGGTTTCAAGTGTTTCATTTTTGTTAGTTTATAATTGGCTTTTAAAATATTTGTATCTCTGTCCTTGTCTGTTACTTTTAGAAAGTCTGTTGTACTATGTCTAGAGTTTACGGCACCTGTTGTTTTCCTTTCCCACATTGTATTTGTTGGCGGAGTGTGACAGGCAGACGGTGGCTGCACTTTGCAGATGAGGAACCCTTCCTAAGTAAAGTTTAAAATGAGACTCTTAGGCAGCGCTTCTGTCTTGTCCCCTGTCTCTACTTATAGGCGCCGAAACCTAGGAGCTGAGCTCCCTCGAACTATTTGAACGACGGAAGAGGGTGGGGAGTGGGGGGAGGGACTAAGTCACCTAGGCGCAGTGGCGTTGATGCTCTCAACTTTAAACTTGAAAGATATTAGAACTTTCTTTGAGGGATCATATAGCATATTTTAAAAACCTGTTGTTTTAAGTACAGTACCACCTGTTTATAAAAGTGAAATTGAGATTTATTAGCACCCCCCCCCCCCTTCCTTTCCCACCCTATAGTTGCATCGCATCGCTTAGCTATGACAAAATTAATTGACAAGCTGCGAAATTCTCTGTGGCAGTGGAAAGCACTGCTTGCTATTTGCATATGCAAGTGGACCAGAAATAATAGAACATTCTCAATTTAAAAAAGTGACAGAAAAATTTGATCATTTTGGCACAAGTAAACAGTGTCATCGGGTTTTCTAAAATTGATAAAATGTACTTTAAAACAGTCAGTATATGGGCCTGAGTGAGTTGAAAAAACAGTGGATAAGAACTAGCTAAGCTTGCTGTTTAGATACAGTAAGTTAATATAATTGGCTGTGATCGGGACGTTTTGACATCTTGCATTCCCCTGGCGGCTTTTGGATGTGAGTCATAGACTCCTGCTCACAAGGGGGAAAAAACAACAGTCAAAACGTTTGAATTGAAATGCTACAGCAACATTCTCCGAATGTCATCGACCGGGATGAAGACAAACACCTTCAGCTCACGTGATCTGCACATTGAGGAGAATTTGCTCGTTAACAGCATCCTTCCTTTAACTGAGAGTGTTCTAGCCGTGGTAAACGTGGTGGTGGTAAAGAGAGAACGCTGATGGAGAGTACAGCTTTCGGAAAACGGTGCAGAGGCAGACCTCCGCGAAAGTGGATACAAGACATTGAAGGTGCATTAGCTATGAAAGCACATAGGGTTGAAGAATTGCTAGAGAAAGAGATGTTTAGGCGTGCGGAGACCAACACGGCTTTCTGTGAAGGACTTTTTGATTACGGACGATGATGACGATCGGGAAAAAACAAAACATTGTAAACATTATTTAAGCCAACTGAAGCAGGGGCGGCCGACCGACACGAAGATGGTCACAGGATATAAATGACTCCTTGTACATGACGCGGGAGAGCTGGGGAGAAACCGAGTTTCTTTCAGACAGACCGTGATGAGGGCGACGTTCTGCAAAGGACCTGCTACACGATGATGAACGCATGGTGTGTAGCTTGGTACGAACAAAGTTAAATCACGAAACCCATTTTTTAAAATTAAGTTTTCCCTCTTCAGGATACAGTCCGTGGGAGTAACATCAGCAATCAGCTGCTGGGAAAGTTTTTCAAACCATAAACCGAGGGTTCCTTAGCGAAATAGAAATTGGCAAGGCGACGAAAATGGCTGTTTACCGCTCTACTTATGTGCCGGTCCTGACCTACGGGTGAGAGTCATGGCCAGAGTGGGACAAAAAAGTGATCCAAATGACAAAGTTTGCTGACATGTCAATATCTTGAAACCTAAGCCTCGCAAACTCGATTGAATCTGTCACAGTTATGATGGTTTGAACATGTATGCATACTGGAAGAAAATCGAGCACCAATGCAGGCGAAGAACCAGGGAACAAGACCTCAAGGGCAACCAAGGGTCCGCTAGGAAGACAACATCCTATAGTCCCTGACTGACACAGATACAAATCCCGCAAATCTCATTCAACCGTGTAGCCACGTAACAGGTATATTGAGTCAGCACAAAACAGTTTTGAAGTAACCATGTAGTCCAGTGTGTGACGTTTTGCATGGATGAAATCAAGAGTGAATGTGAGTGATATCCCTTTGGTTTTTACAGAAGGCAATAGTCAGTCCAACTATCCTCTAAACTTTGCTACGATTCTCTGACTGACTGATGTTTAAACCCACCAGGACCACACAATCAGCGACCGACACCTGCTGACAAAACTTGCCACTATTAGGCACAATTCTCAGAAACCCGTTTAACTCGGCTCGTTGGCGTAGTTGGTTAAACCTGACTTCGCGGTGACCGGGTGACGAACTCCTTGTGGTCCAGGTTCACGCCCGGGGGTAGGCAGAAAAGCCACATTTCTCCCAGATTTACGGTATCTATCCTGGAATCAAGGCCGAAGAGTTGCGATATCAATAGTACCAAGCCAAAGATGTAACAACTCATGGTTTCTTGATATTTAAAAAAAAAAACGTTAGGTTATATTTAGGGCCCCTGACAGCAGCCGGAGTGCGGCTTTAAAAAAACATGGCGGCTCTCGCATATTGGGGCGGATTACTCTTCTATGTTTGTGTCAGCGCTTGAGTCTGGGCACTGAAGCCTTTCCAGCTGCCCATCTATCACAGAATCAATGCTTTTTACTTATTATGCATGTCAACTTCATTTAAGAATGTTAAAAGTTAATGTCGGGAAAAGGGGAAAAAAAGGGGGGGGGGGAGGGGCGACTTTATTACACTAGGTTACCTCATATGGCCCAGCCTCTCTCTCTCTCTCTCTCTCTCTCTCTCTCTCTCTCTCTGTATGAGTGTGTGTCTTTATATGTTTGTATGTATGTATGTGTGTGTGTGTGCGTGCGTGTTCGTATGTATGTGGAAGTATGTGTGTATTGGGTGCCTATGTGTGTAAGTGAGTGTATGGGTTTTACGTGTGTATGTGGATGTGTGTGTGTTCACGCGCGAGCGTGCGCACATATTTTACCATCCATGCTTTTGTTTTTGACTTGATATTCGTAATATGCATATTAATACATGAACATAACATGCTTTATTGATGAGATACAACTGCTGTGTGAAAGATGGGCCGAATGTAAGACAGGTCTGCGTGCCTAATTTATAACCCTTTTAAAAATAAAGTTCGTTCGTTCTCTCTCTCTCTCTCTCTCTCTCTCTCTCTCTCTCTCTCTCTCTCTCCGCAGAACAGCTAGTCGCCTGCCATGCAGAGCATGAACTCTGTAGCTCCAGCTACGATCTTGTTTGTAAAAAGTGTGACTCGGGAACTAACCCAGACACATTTGATGGTTAGTTGTTAGTTGGCGCTGATCTGATGTCAACTCCGGCGGAAACTCCTGACTTGTCGTCTGTTTCTGGACACTGTTAGTTCCTTGCCTCTCAGGCCGATGCACCCTGACTTCGAAAGAGAGAGAGAGAGAGAGAGAGAGAGAGAGAGAGAGAGAGAGAGAGAGAGAGAGAGAGAGAGAGAGTCTAGTTTTTTTTACCGGAGTAGCCTAGAGATTGGCATGGTAGGTTGGGCCATGTAATTTTCGAAGGCGTCGGTTTGGCTAACCTGTTGCAGGTACTGACTACAACGGAAATTAGTTAATGGATTCATGACAGAAAAAAAGGGGTTTTGATCCTGTGGGGGATTTAACGTAAGCAGGTTAAGAACACTTAACATTGCAGATGCAGCACTCTTTTTGTTAGGTAGGAAGAGATTCGAACTTCCATTTATTCGGACTTCCTGCCTGTTGTCTTTAAATGGAAGGGTCACATGCATCTGTAAAGTCTGTGATGTGATGCGTGTACTCTACCGATCCATACAGGTGAGGTTTCCATTGGAATGCCAACAGTCCAAAGCTGAGACTTCTCTCTACTGCATATAGAGAGCCATATCTGTAGCACATATTCTGTGGTGCCTGGCCTCATGGGCAAAGTTCTCAATCCCCAGTCTTGAATTTCTGGTACATAAGCAGCAGAAGTCTGTTGTGTGCAATACGCAGTCTAAACATAGTGGTCTGTTTCTTTCGTGTTTGGAGGTTGATTGTGTCTTCTGGCTTGGGTCCTGGATATGAAGTCTTACATTAACTGCTCTTGGCTTTGTTTTCCTTTGCCTTTTCAGCCTTCTTATAGTCGCAACGTTTTCCTCTTCTGATGATTCTTCCAAAGATACGTACGTGGATTGTCTTTTTTTTTTTTTTTTTTTTTTATGCGGGCAACCGGTTCTGTTTATGAGTTACTGTCTTGTGGTCAATTGCTTTGATACTGAAATAATTCATCAAGCATCAACATCATAACACTTCGGAGAAACCCATAGATCATCCGTTTTCCTCTGTAGATGTGGCAGACTGTATATGCTGATCTTTCCATTAACGCACTAGTTGTAAACACTCCAGTTACACTCCTGGAAACCCCAGTTTCATCATACCTCGAACATCTTTAAATAAATTTTTTTTTTTTTTTTAAATTTGCCTTTGTATCTTCATTCATAGGAGCTTCAAGCTAGCTGCTTTGTCTATGGTGTTGCAGTTGCCGAATTTCTTAGTTGTAACTTGATCTACACTTCAGAACGACTCAGAAATCTAGGCAAACCAATGATGAAATGGAACATCTGCTTTCAAAGCAGTCTTGCGTCTTTGCCAATCCTAGTTTACTCTCGCTTGTAAAGAGAGGGAAGGGGGATCTCTCTCTCTCTCTCTCTCTCTCTCTCTCTCTCTCTCTCTCTCTCTCTCTCTCTCTCTCTCTCTCTCTCTCTCTCTCTCTCTCTCTCTCTCTCTCATACTTACTAGGCCATACCACACACACGCCGGATGTATCAAACTGTGTCAAGTGCTGTATGAGGCTTGAAATCTGCAGCCGGAACTTGATCACTGGTGAACTAGGGCAGTGTTCTTCAAACCCGTGGGCCGCCATAGTATTCAGCCTAACCATTAACTAAATAGGGTGGTTGGTTTTTCTCTTCCAGTGCGGAGGCACAACTAGATCATTACGGTCTGAGGAGATGAAGTTACCTGAAGATCTGACCGACGTTTAACACTCAAGGGGAAGGCGAGACGGATATACAATCACAGTTACTTGTGCCATCGAAACTAGAACGCTTCGCTTGCTGCTGAAGATGGGGACGGAGCGCTTATGGGAGTGTCCTGAGTGCTATAATGTCGATTCCTAATTCAACATTGGACGTACTCTTCCAGTCTGTAGTAACAACTCTTGTTTGTAAGAAAAGACTTTCTGAGGGATGTAAGAAATTTACACACGCACGCACATGCACACACACACATACAGACACACACTCACATACGGAGAAATCGGATGGATGTTACTGTAGCGCTTCCTATGTTATAAACAACGCTCCAGTCACATATATCAGATGTGTAAAACCTCTAAGCTGCAGCAGAAGCCGCATTAGCTGAAAATTGTGATTTTGTGATATTATCGGATTGAACAAATAAACTGCTGTCTGCATGCGTTTTAATTTCGTGTTTTGTTGGCTGTCAGGTGGGTCGGCCAAGGGTGTGAAAAGGTTAAAGAACACTGAACTTGGATATCTACCATTTTTTCCTTGACACATGCTAGCAGCGGCACCGCAGCCAGGTGGCTCGGGCAACCAGAGAGCCTCATCAAAATTTTTAGAAATGGTTACCCAGTTTTTAGAAGGGGTTACCCAAATAATTTCTGAGAAAGTGGGGGGGGGGGGGATGTTGAGAGGCCATTTCCAAGCACATTTCTAAGATGTCACCTCCCGACGCTTTTTTTTTTTTAAACAAACATATATTGACATTCTATATGGTTAGATTTGTTTTGCCTTTGGTATATTATTATTATTATTTTTATTGTTGTTGTTGTTATTATTTGGAACTTGTATACTTAAGTTTAAGATCCTCCTTCACCTCTTATTAAATTATAACGAAATGTAGCCTGCAAGGCCACACTAGTGATTCTGTTGTGGCGGCGTCCCAGCCATGGGCACACAGGCTTCAAACTTCGGGCTGAAGCAGCTACACGCCTCCCTGGCAAATCAAAACAAAAATATGGTGAATGCAGTCAAGCTAGTACAAGAAATTCCAGTGAACTGTTACTCAAAAGCTTAACCAAGCAGAAAAACGTGCACAAAACAACACAAATAACATCAAATTTGATGTTTGACAAAGGCTGGCGGCCGAAACGTTATTTGTATTGTTTTGTGCAAATTTTTCTGCTTCCCCATTTGGTTAAGCTTTTTAGTCACAGTTCACTGGAACTCCCTGGCGAAGCACAGCCCTTTGAAATGGCAAATACAGAACAATTAAGAACAGCTCTTTCTGTATTTTCCTCAGACTGCCTAAGCAGCAATTCTTCCCACAGTTGGTCCCCCTTTCTGGGGGCAGGCTCTGCTGGGCTTGATCCGAACACTCTCAAGCTCATCCACTGCATCTACTGCAAGGAGTGTCGCATGGAGAAGATGGCGGCATCTGGGCTGCCGGAGCATCATCACAGTCATCATCATCAGCAGCACCAGCACTCGGGGCAGTCGCAGGAAGGGATCGCCAACGGCGGGTCGGTCAGCTCCAACAACAGTTCGTCGCAGACACCTCTAATGGGGATTCCTTTGGCACTGCCCAGAACTCCTCCAGACCAAGCTTCTATACAGAGCAGTATGGACAAGAACAAAGAAAGTAAGTCGAGTGTTCTGTTGGCAGCGGGTTCCCCCGTATCTTCATAGTTGTTGTCTTTTAGTACTTACCTTGCAACAGTCAGAGATAAGTCGAGTGTTCTGTTGGCAGGGGTTCCCCCGTATCTTCATAGTTGTTGTCTTTTAGTACTTACCTTGCAACAGTCAGAGATAAGTCGAGTGTTCTGTTGGCAGGGGGTCCCCCGTATCTTCATAGTTTGTTGTCTTTTAGTACTTACCTTGCAACAGTCAGAGATAAGTCGAGTGTTCTGTTGGCAGGGGTTCCCCCGTATCTTCATAGTTGTTGTCTTTTAGTACTTACCTTGCAACAGTCAGAGATAAGTCGAGTGTTCTGTTGGCAGGGGTTCCCCCGTATCTTCATAGTTGTTGTCTTTTAGTACTTACCTTGCAACAGTCAGAGATAAGTCGAGTGTTCTGTTGGCAGGGGTTCCCCCGTATCTTCATAGTTGTTGTCTTTTAGTACTTACCTTGCAACAGTCAGAGATAAGTCGAGTGTTCTGTTGGCAGGGGTTCCCCCGTATCTTCATAGTTGTTGTCTTTTAGTACCTAACTTGCAACAGTCAGAGATAAGTCGAGTGTTCTGTTGGCAGGGGTTCCCCCGTATCTTCATAGTTGTCGTCTTTTAGTACTTACCTTGCAACAGTCAGAGATAAGTCGAGTGTTCTGTTGGCAGGGGTTCCCCCGTATCTTCTAACATTGTGTCATAGTTGTCGTCTTTTAGTACTTATTTTGCAACAGTCAGAGATAAGTCGAGTGTTCTGTTGGGAGGGGTTCCCCCGTATCTTCTAACATTGTGTCATAGTTGTCGTCTTTTAGTACTTATTTTGCAACAGTCAGAGATAAGTCGAGTGTTCTGTTGGGAGGGGTTCCCCCGTATCTTCTAACATTGTGTCATAGTTGTCGTCTTTTAGTACTTATTTTGCAACAGTCAGAGATAAGTCGAGTGTTCTATGGTGTGTGTGTGTGTGGTGGGGGTGGGGGGGGGGGTGTTCGTCTTATCCTCTAATACTGTATCATAGTTGTTGTCTTATAGTACTTACCTTGCAACAGTCAGCGCCGCTGCGCCTTGGGCATTCCCAAGCGGGCTCAATCCTTCGGTACAACGGCCACTCCAAGGTACCTACCTCTGTTGATTATTCCCATAACGAGTGGTTATAATGTCTCCTATCTCGGCCTCGAAGGCGGCAAAGACGTGCTTTATTAATGTATACTCCCAGATCACGCAGTCATGTTAAGTATCAGATTCTTCAGTATCCTCTAGCCTGGTCTCTGCAGCGCTGATGCTATCTTCTCATCGTTGACTATAGAACAGCATGTCTGTAGCAGACGTGCAAGGGCATGAGCAAGCTGATCGGCAATGGATCATGATGATGTTCTGAATGCCACAACCAAGTGTTAACTGTGGATCTGCAACCGTCACTGGACTGCAACAACAGCATGTCTGTAGCAGACGTGCAAGGGCATGAGCAAGCTGATCGGCAATGGATCATGATGATGTTCTGAATGCCACAACCAAGTGTTAACTGTGGATCTGCAACCATCACTGGACAGCAACAACAGCATGTCTGTAGCAGACGTGCAAGGGCATGAGCAAGCTGATCGGCAATGGATCATGATGATGTTCTGAATGCCACAACCAAGTGTTAACTGTGGATCTGCAACCATCACTGGACTGCAACAACAGCATGTTGAAAGAGGTATGGCCAGTCAGGAGCATTACGCAGGAGGCCAAAGATAAATAAGAAAACACAGAACTGGTGTCGTTAGCTGCTACACGCTGCGGGATTGACTAAGCAGGGGATCCGAGCACTGAAGCACTGTGGTTCGGTGTGCACTGAGGATAATCTGATGTGCAGCCAGGATAATTTGTCGACTAACCAACTAACTTTGTCTGTAGCAGTGCTGTTTGTGTTCCCGCAGGTTGAGCGTTGTCACTGCCATACATCATAGCACTAAGGAATTTGTGGAGGTCAAAACAAATTAAAAGAAATACTAAACTAAAAATTTTTAATTCTAATGTCAAATCAGTACTTTTGTATGGGGCGGAAACATGGAGAACAACTATGGCAATTACTAATAAATTACAAACATTCATTAACTGTTGCCTACGCAGAATAGAAGGAATTAAATGGTATGATAGAATAACTAATGTAGAGCTTTGGGAGAGAACTAAACAGGCTCCAGTGGACCAAGAGGTGAGGAAAAGACGCTGGCGTTGGATAGGACACACACTGAGAAAACAGGAGAACAGCATAACTAGAATGTCTTTGCATTGGAACCCACAGGGGCATATGAATAAAGGAAGCCCCCCCCCCAAAAAAAAAAAAAAAAAACATGGAGCAGAGAGCTGGAGAATGAAGTTAGAAAGATGGAGAGGACATGGGGAGAGCTTCATGCAATGGCGAAGGATAGAACAACTTGGCGTGAGTTGGTTGAGGGCCTATGCTCCATTGGGGGATAGAAGACAGAAGAGGAAGAAGACGAAGAATTCCAACCTTTGTGGCAGCTCCTTTTGCGGGGTATCTGAGATGAGATCTGCCTTGTCGGTCTGCAGTTCCGAGACGGGGTATCTGAGATCTGCCTTGTCAGTCTGCAGTTCCGATGGTGGGGTATCTGGGATCTGTCGGTCTGCAGTTCCGATGGTGGGGTATCTGGGATCTGTCGGTCCGCAGTTCCCATAGCGATTTTTAATCTCTGGACGGTAGGGTAAACCTTTAGGTAGCAGTCCACAGTGAGCAGACTGATCGATTGATCAGTTAAGACACACCCCACGTTAAATCAGACAATATTATTTTACATGCAGGCCGAGACAGCGCAGTGGTTAGACCCTTGCCGTCCAGCCCTGAAGTTACTGGGTTGGAATCCGCACCAAGGCGAATCTTTTTAAGAATAACATTGGTTCTTAATCGACCTAATTGTAAGCTTCATGATGGTCCGCCCCTGCCCCTCTTTCCTGGTACCATGCTTTTTGCTATTATGTTTTCTATTTAGTCCGAGTGTAACAGTCCGTGTAATTATTAGTGAGAAAATTTGTAGAGATGATATCCACCCTGTTTTCAGATAGTTGCCAGGGATTAGAACAGTGAATACGCTGAAGAAATAATCGTTGGAAATTTCGCAGTGACTGAATTGGAAAATCAGACTTTTAAAAACAAATCTGTCTGTATCGCCTTCATATCGCTGTTGAAAAAACATAGGGCACTCACAGGTGACCCCTAATGCTGCAGGACTGCTGGTTGTATGCCCTTGGTATCCCTTGTCATATGCTTCATATCCCCTGCAGGACTGCTGGTTGTCTGCCCTTGGTATCCCTTGTCATATGCTTCATATTCCCTGCAGGACTGCTGGTTGTCTGCCCTTGGTATCCCTTGTCATATGCTTCATATCCCCTGCAGGACTGCTGGTTGTCTGCCCTTGGTATCCCTTGTCATATGCTTCATATCCCCTGCAGGACTGCTGGTTGTCTGCCCTTGGTATCCCTTGTCATATTTACATTCCTGTAGCTTGTTTAAGCAGGTTGTCTGCGTCACCTTTTCTCATCGGCCGTCCACCGGAGAGCTGTTCTTGCTAGCTCAAGTAAAGGGGACCCCTTTCCCACGCCTTCAGGCATATTTGGCACATAGGGCTAGACCTGTATTTTATAGACCAATCGGCACTTGGTGGCTGATGTGGTCAGCATCAAGGCGGCCGCCTGCACTTCCCAGGACTTGTACCTGGTACCCACTCAAAGCTGTGTCAACCTCGGAGCCAAGGTCATTTTGAAAAAAAAAAAAAGTTCGGCTCCGCCAGGACCCGAAACCACGACCGTTCGACCCGCAGCGTCTAGCCGCTACCTTACGACCACTCCCTCCTTGCCGACTGATCAGTTTGAAATGCTACCCAAACATTATTAGCGTACCTGTGATCAAAACGGGAGCCGCCTAGTTCAGCGGCTTGACGTCGCTTTCTGGACCTGAAGATTGTCGGCTTCAGGTCCTAACGGAGCCGGGCTGTTTAGAAATTACCTTGGCTCCCAGGGCAACCCAACCTTAAACGGGGTTCCAGGAAAAGTCACGGGAAGTAAAAAGCGGCCTGCTTGCTTTTGCTCATATCACTAACCATGTGTCGATGGGCTGCAGAATGTAGGTCATGCCCAATACGCCTAGAGGCATGGACATGGTACTTTACTGTGATCAAGGAGAAGAAAGTTGCTGACGTTCCGGCACTGAACTTGCAAGAAAACTGGCTTACAAGCATCAGCACATCTGGGAACCGGAAACACTTTAGTCTTATGAACCGCCTGTGTGGCTTAGACAGACCATTGGTGAAAGGGTGAAGTATCTGGAAGACGACAGAAAACACTGGGTGTAGACCAGTACAAGATGCGCACAGGAGGCGGACATAATGCCTGAAATAGGGACCGGAGCTGGTGAAAGATTCAGTCTTTCCAGCGAAAGAGAAAGATTGACGTCGAGAGAGAGAGAGAGAGAGAGAGAGAGAGAGAGAGAGAGAGAGAGAGAGAGAGAGAGAGAGAGAGAGAGAGAGAGAGAGAGAGAGAATTGATTTTTGTGTGTGTTGTTTTTGTGTGTTTATGTGTGTGTTTGTAATTATGCTCCTTTCCCCTAGTTCTGTCCTGCTGATATCATAGAAGACAAAAGCCTGCAATGGTTAGGGCATATATAGAGAGAATAGCACATACGAGAGGGACAAAAGCTGCGTACACAAAAGAGTTGAATTGGAATAGACCACGGGGAAGACCAACAAGACAGCGGAGAGATGATATAAGACACGCAAATCTTGAAGTCACCAGCTGGAAAGAGAGTCAGAGAGTTGGGAGATATCTGCAGCAATGAACGAACCTCAAGGGATCGGAATGCTGAAGACGCAAAAGAAGAATCAGATTCTTTATTATCATAAATCATATTTGACCTCCGGTGCCAGCTTGCAGCATCACTGAACCGTTTTCTACGTCAGATCTGGGTCACCCCCCCCCCCCTTTTTTTC